CCTATGAACTACCTGCAGCCTGCAGGGCGGGCCAGTCTTACATAGTGCTGGCCCGTCCAGGAGGCTGCTCTTGCCAATGCCAAAACGTGCCAGACCCTGGCGTTACAGCTCAAACAAGGGTTGTCTTGAAAACAGGCCCAAAATGGCCTGCGCTAAAACCCTCGTCTGGTGCCTACGTTTCAGGGCAGGTCGATCTTGCGAGGGCCTGGAAATGGCCCTCCGTTTCATGCTGAAAGACTCAGGGCCTGGAGGGGCAGTTTTAGGCTGAACGACACAGGGCCTGTAGGCCCTTGTTTTCAGGCTGAAAACGGCACGGGCCTGAAAATGGCCCGTGCAGCGTGTTGCAGGCGAGCATCTAACAACCCCCCCTCCTTATGAAGTCAAGCCGGGTCGAGGGCGAATCTGACAATCTGAAGGTGGAACCTGGACGCGGGTGCGACGTGGAGCCGAAGATACCGGCTTGCCTTGCATCTTGCGTTCCTAGCGTGCGAGAACATCTGGAGCTGTTGCTTGGAGTTCCTCACAGGTCAACCAACAGTCGGCTTCGTGGGTGCAGTACGCAAAGTGTACCAAGCATTCGGTCGGCCTGTTGCTGTAGCGTCGCTGGGAAATGATGTCGCCGACCTCTTGAAAATCGTCCATAGAGGGTGGGTCTTGCGATCGTCGCCTGGGAAAATCGTCATGTTCCACTGGCGTGTAATGAAAGACCGGGTAGACGGGCAAGTGGGCGGGCACCTGAATGATGAAGGAAGGTCCTTCGGGTGCATCCCCAGCGGGTGCCACGATCGGCCAGGGCCCCATCCATTTTGGGAGGAGCTTGCGAGAGATATCTTGTTCGAGGCTGAACTCCACGTTGGAAACCCAAACGAGATCGCTGGGGAGGAATGGACAAGGAAGACGCTGGCGATTGGCCTGTTGGCTCATGCATTGCTGGGTCTTAGCCATGTGGTCGCGTGCCTTGACAAGTAGCTTTTGCATCCGACGCAAGAAAAGAAGATGGTCGTCGCTCTCGGTCGTTCGTGGAATGATTGTGTCCAACGGAGAAGTGACCGGCGAGCCGTGCTTGAACTCGAAGGGCGACATCCCGATAGCCGGGTGGATGGACGAGTTGTATGCCAACTCGACATCCGGCAGCCGCTCAAGCCAATCCTTTTGGTCGGCACGGATGAGAGTGTTGTTAAGAACTTGGTTGCCTGACGATTCTTACCGCCACTCACACACAGACGGTCTCATACACGCCCATACATGCATAAGAGAAGGGGGAGAGGAGACAGAGTCCACACTGCACACAGATCAGACAAGATAGCGGAAGCACAACCATGCACAGATGGGCAGAGGACACACGGTGTTTCTCACTCTCTGACGATACTCCCAACAACCAATCACAAGAAAGAACCTGCGAGGATAACAATTGGAATACACACTGATGATGAGCCAAATAACCAGAAATCGTTACAGAGTTTGTTCCAGTGTCTCCCCACTCTCCGAACCTCACACTCCACTCACTACCCTACACCCAGTTAGTAGCGCCACATCAGGATGGCCTCCCAGAGGCCAGCGCCAACCACCCAGATGAAGAACAGATCCCGCGACGAAGTCTTCAGTGTCGCTGAACAACTCTGACGAAGAACCGGCAGCTATGGCTGCCGCCACCCACAACGGCTCAGTAAAGAGTCCCCACACAGCCCAGCCGCTCGCAGAAACCCACAGGGGTTGATGCGCGGAAGATGCCCCAGCTATGGCTAGTCCTCAACAGGCTGGCTATGGCTGCTGTCCACGGCAGGGTACCGCCTGCAAACAATCGCCGCTGCGAACCTCCTTGGCTCCAAACGCTGCATCACGAAAATGAACTGCCAAAATGTCCCAGCCCGATTCCCCCAAACTATTAATAGACTCTACTACTCTAGCCTAGACCTAGACCGAACTGACTAACCGACCGGTACCGTTTCGGTTTCAGCCTCTCGACCTCAATCGGACCCGGCTATAGGCTATAGGACCGTCTATCAGCTTAGCCCCTTAGGGCCTGTCTGTCCTGGGGGTAGCCCGGGCCTGCTCAACACAGTGAGGATAGCTATAGGGAAATCGAAGTACTGCTGGGCCTATTTTCCCCATATTTGCAGATATATCCCTCACGAATTTCCTTACAGGTAGGTCTCTCGGTTAGCCCTCAGTCAAACAAAATTATAAATCTAACCTACTGCTGTATTGTACAGCCTCGCGGTTAGTCTCGACAGTCAGAATCAGCAAGTCATTACAGGCTTACCCCTCTAAGGAGCGAGGACCTCCGAGCTAAGAGTGCAGACGAGGTGAATGGCGAGGAAGGTTTCCCTTCTGAACCGCTTCATATCGCAAAACAACTGACTTTACTGTCTTGAGAAGTTCCCTTCTGTAGAACCATCTGTTCTCAGAAGGCGGCTAGAATGCGAACCTCACAAGATTTTGCCGATCGGGGTTTGTGCCCCACTCATCCTCGATCCACTCCACGTCATATCCCTTGCCAGGGATCGGTGGACCAAATTGAGGAGGCCGGTCTGGGAATGCATCAGCTGGGGTGAATGGCAACAACTTGGATGCATGAAAGACCGGGTAGGTCCGTAGATGCAGCGGGACGTCAATGACATAGGACGGGCCGAACGGGTCGGCCCCTACTTTATCTAAGACCTGCCATGGACCCAGATAACGAGGCAACAACTTGGGGGAAATATCCTCCTCCCTCGACAGCTCAAAACTGGCTACCCAGACATGATCACCAGTACAGATGGGGGAAGGTCGCCTGTGGCGGTTAGCTTGTTCAATCATTGCCTTTTGGGCTTTGAACAAGTTTGCACGTGCTCTTTCCACATCTATGCGGTAGCGTCTG